GTTGTGTTGGAAAATCTCACCGCTGCTACAGATGTTTGACAGATTTTTCTTAGGTTATGAATTATTTACAATATATACCATTCATCATTAATAAACGCCCAAGGTACATTTCCATTTAAAAGATTGGAAGACCTGTTTTAAATGTACTTTAAACTTTTATATTATTTCTGTTTCCATCAAAATGAAGAATGAGAGTTTAGCCAGTCTCGGCGATCTGCAAAGACAGGTTCCACTTTTAAGTGAAAAGCAAAACTAGTCATGAGAATCAGGCATGAATGGGTGAGTGAAGGTTTAGTTTTACGCCGTTTTTAGAAATATTCCAGCAATATCACGGCACGGGGACACCAGAAATGGTCTTCATTATTGTACCCATGTGGAATCGAACTGGGAATATTCGGTGGGACGAGCGAACCGCTGTATCCATGGAGATATATTCAGGTGTATTTGGGGAGCATAAAATTGAAGTTTTAAGAATGTGATGGTGGTCGATTTGTTTTGCAAACGGTATTCAAAGAAATAGAAGAATATAAATCTTTTCATCTGTATTCTGGCTCAAATATAATCCGTAGCGCTAATAAATCAATACAGCCTTAATACCATTGTCTGGTTCTAAATAATATACTAATGTCCAAACGCTGGTGAACTGTACTGTATGTACAGTAATGCACACGTGCTGTTTACAGTAATTCGCATGCATTACATGTTATTGGACCGCCTCCGTGGTGTAGTGGTTAGAGCGTCCGCCCGGTGAGCGGAAGGTCGCGTGTTTGATCCCCGGCCGCGTCATACCAAAGACATTTAAATATGGTACTTGTTGTTCCCTGCTGGCGCTCGGTATTAATGGGTAAAACAAGGCCTGGTCATTATTGAGTCAATATAATGTGTCTGAGTAGGGTATTCGTGCTTAACTGCGGCATGGTATCTCAGTGAGCTAGCACTATATAACCAGCTTACGTATGGGCTAGTACAAGCAGCCACACATACACACGCATGCAAGTCGTCATATGAGCGAAAAATTCTTAAGTAGGACGTTAAACTCCATTTCACCTGACCTGACCTGACCTGACCTGACCTGACCTGACCTGACCTGACCTGACCTGACCTGACTTGACCTGACCTGACCTGACCTGACCTGACCTGACCTGACCTGACCTGACCTGACCTGACCTGACCTGACCTGACCTGACCTGACCTTTAGAATAAATACCTGGCCTAAGCTTGACCTGACCTGACCTGATCTGACGGATATGCGGTTTCCGTTCCCGGACGGTAAGGCTGCTTATGGACATTTAGCTCACAAAACCAACCGGCTAAATCAACACAAAATTGACTCAATTATCCGCACGAAGCTTTGATCTTCCCGTGACCGTGTCAAGTGAAGCGCGAGTGTTCCGCGTGTCTTGACACGGGACAAGGTCTGTTAATCCGGATTAATCTCCGATCAGTAGGATATTGGTGTTGATTAGTAGGCCTGTCTGACACAGAGGGTAGTGTAATTGGCAAATCAAAACGACCATGCTGTTTTGGAAGTGATTTTAAACTAGAAGTGTACGCTCGCTACCGTTTAAACACCTAAGCCTGGATGACAGAAATCCAGATGTCCGGATATTCAGTTATACGGACGATTTACGCAATGTGTCCGGATATCCGGGGTCTCACTGTATACAGCTTCTGGGAATGGGGAACGTAGCTGGGATCACAGAGGTACAGATACTGATTATATATAAGAAATATATGTATAAACACTACATGGGCCCAAATGGTAAAGAACTTCTATGCTAATTGTTTGATCGGCATTCTAGAAACCAGGTTCTATGGACAGGCAACTCCTTTACTGCAATGGGTGCGACGTTTCGGTATAGGTACTAACACCGTTATCAAACAAGTGCCTCTCAAAGAACAAAAGAGAAGAATTTCTAGAAGTTGGTGAGTCCAAAATAAGCATGCGACTTTATGGATAACAACGTCTTGTTTATTGCTTAGGACGACATTAGGTGTAGATTCTAACCCCGTTATCATGCTGGAAGTGACTACAACCGGGTGTTGAGAAATATGAATGCAAAGTATGTTGTGATAAACAGGAGATTAACACTGATAGCGGCATTCAATTGAATAACAAGTGGTATATAACTGAATGAGGCCATTTGGGGGAGTAAGAACACGAAATAGCCCGGGCCATGAAGTCAAAAAGCCGAAGGAATTAGGAGCTGTTCATAATTTATGGCAAGGGGGTGGTGAATTTCTATGGAGAAGCAAGTTTAAAGTAAATTACCCCTCCCCCAAAAAAAAAAAAAAAAAAAAATTAATAAAATAAAATATAAAAAATAAATCTACACAAAGAAAGTGACCCCACCCCCACCCCTGCATGCCATGTAAACAATCAATGAAACACGCACACACACACACACACACACACACACACACACACACTACCACAACTCAATTCGGGTAAATGTATCATCCTTAAACTCACCCTCTCACTCATGCATAATTATGTATACGATCTACCAACTACTACGCAGCACCTCATTATAGAACCCAAGATAGAATACTTACATCCGCACTGTCTCTACAGAGGGGGGTGCTTGGGGTCGTTTATGGTCGCTAGGGGTCATATGTTAAAACTATTTGCTGAAGGGATCAATCGCCACAAATCGCGGGCGAGGTTTATGAACACACATAATATAAAGACAATGTAGAACACGGAATACAAGCTTGGGTTTGTTTGGTTTATCTTATCCGACCCTCGTATTAGGAAACGGTCAGACATGTTTGTTGGTGGCTAAAATGAAAGAATCAAATTTGTTTTGTTTGGTGTTTAAAGCCACATTCAACAATATTCCAGCTATATGGCGGCGGCCTGTAAATTAACCAGGCGGGAAACCAGACAATCCAGTGATCAACAGCGTGGTCATCGATTTACGCAATTGGGATACGATAACATGTGTCATCCAGCCTGACCACCCGATCCCGTTAGTCGCCTCTTACGACAAGCATGGGTTGCTGAAGATCAATTCTAACCCGGATCTTCACGGGTGGAGACCGTGGGTTTTGCTGATCAATTCACGGGTCTTCACGGGAGACAAGCATGGGTTGCTGAAGATCAATTCTAACCCGGATCTTCACGGGTGGAGACAAGCATGGGTTGCTGAAGATTAATTCTAACCCGGATCTTCACGGGTGGAGACAAGCATGGGTTGCTGAAGATCAATTCTAACCCGGATCTTCACGTTTGTTAAGGCCGATATATGTAACATTCAAGTTACATGACAGCTCTTCCCGCCGATGTCGAAGGAAAGTGGCGGAGGTCGCCGATGTCTACAACTCCGGTAAAACACACGAGACGGTGCTGACAAATCAAGAAACATGATTGGGACGAACCGGGATTCGAACCCAGGGACATACAGTTTTAACATGCACAAGGGACGTGTCGTAACTGGATTGAGTGCTTGTAAACCCTATTACCAGTTACCTATTAAGATGGCCGTTCCGCATTGTTAGGGGCGGTGTGAGGTCAAGTTACACACTCGCTTGGTCCGTCCGGGGCTGTTACGTCTAGGAGTGAGAGGTCGGACGACCGGGACTCCTCACTACAACATTACATTCATGTACTGGCACTCTGACATACAATGAATAACTCAACACTAGGTTCTATACTCACATAGGTTTACTCGATCCCTCTCTTCATTACAAGGTGACGTGGTCTGGACAGGATAGGGCAAGCTCTTTACCAGATATGGAACTGATCGATCGCGATGCGAACGTTCTGCTGACTCTGCAAACAGCACCACTTTCTAGTGCTGACGGTATCCTTATAAGGTGTTCGAGCCTCCTCCACCCTTGTCACATGACCAGATACAATCCCTCCGATTCGTTTAAAGTTACATCATTCCGTGGTCTCATGTCGTGCCTCGTGATCGGAAATACTCCTCCATCGATATCCGTTTAATTACCACTCTAAGAGGCCATCTATTACTGACATTTATCCTGTTCTTTTTAACCTTAGTTTATTACCAGGCAGTAATAGCATTGATTCTATGACGAAGTAACCGTAAGTCTCAATAATAGATTTGTGATACGTTTCTTTTCACCTTATAACAGACGCAATTCTGAAGACTGCTGCCACACACACATCCCCCATTCCTCACTCACACATTCTCTCTCTCTCTCTCACACACACACACACACACACCCACACCCACCCCACACACCTGTTCTCCCTCATTAAATGAGAACATGACCTTGGACTTCAAGACGTGGTAGTACACTCTGTCTGTGTGTGTGTATGTGTGTGTGTGTGTGTGTGTTTGTTTGTTTGTTTGTTGTTAGCATCGTACTCAGCAATATTACAGCTATATGGCGACGGTTGTATAAATCGAGTCTGGACCAGACAATCCAGTGATCAGCAGCATGAGCGTGGCAGTGCATTCATTTATGAATTAGTTTAATATTCCATACAACTTCATTACATTTTGATACTAATATTAATATTAGAATATACATAACCCATTGAGAATGTGTATACAACTGATTGGCCTTGATATTACATTAAATGAGTGTGTGTTTACAAAAACATCGTGTCCTCATTTTAACAGAAGACATGGATTGTTGAACGCGCAAGTGAATATTACTTAAAGTCCCATCAGTATCAGTAATTTTGCAGCAATTCTCGGCAAGAAAGATCTTTAATTTTACCCTAAAAGTGATGTTTACAATCACAAACAAAATCTCAAAGAAATATCCAAATAGATCAGAAATCGTCTAAAATATAACATCCATTGATTAAATAAAAGTCTAAAAATAAACATGTTTGACAGTTGTTCCTGTTTTATTGGGAAATCTAGAAGACTCCTCACAAGTAACAATTAACGTGACAATCGAATTTAGAAGCATCATAGAAATTACGCGCACCGCCCCCGTATCATTAGCGATAGCACCGCCTGGACAACGTATTGAATCGGGTCGACAAAACTCTATAGGACGTATCATGCAGGTGCTATTTTTAGTGAGCTTAGGTAAACAGCCTACTAGGGTTAGCTCAACCTGATAACACGGACTCGATCAGTTCTAGGGAGCAGGACTCTAATCAGGTCAGTTGACGAGCTTATTCTCCATCATTTCTTACACATTGAATGAGATTGTTGAACATAACACCAGCTACCATGGACACCCCCCTTCCCTTAAACCCGCTAGGGGAGCGAAAGTTACGTTACTGTATGGATGGGTGATCAAATGGGTTGTCCTTATGTCTAAATCATGTGACTATGTCTGCCTCTCGACATGAGTTTGTAGGTCACGAGGACGACCGCAAGGAGTGCTCCTACTTGCTATGCTGTTCTGTTTACGGCCGTGACAAGCATTCTTTTTTGATGCGTGGTGTATAATTAGAGTGGCTGTTATTCATATCCCCCGTGTTTCGCACTCCATGGCGTCTGAACCCAACTAAGGCGTATCAAAACTGTATGTCAAGGCTATGTGACAGTTATCAAGCATGTTGTACCTCGCACGGACACAGGCCTGTCATACCTTCCTATACTTATCACATCTACTTAGGAGATTTCACAATTATACATCGAGTGTGATGTTTAACGTGATTATACCTTTATTGATATTGGAAATAATTATAATTATTCGATGTTTAAGATAGTTAATCCATGTTCGTGCATGACAAATATTCAACAGATTTTTTTATAGTTCATTTTGTCTCAAGACACAGGAAGGCTTTTAACGTTTCAAAGTCCAGTTTGGTTAGGGTGATTAGTTACCCTCACTATATTCTCAATGAAATTTGAAGTCCATATATGGGTCTCTGTCCCGCTGGGGGAAATATAGTCTAAAGCTTAGTCTCTGAATATATACATGTATATTTAATTTTGATTTTAACAGGAGATTGTTAGATTGAACAGGAGCCACAGGGAGACCATCAGAACCTAGGGAAAGGGTTGCTATGGTGATGGGAAGTGAATGTGATGAAGAAGGCCTAGGGTTGCCATGGTAATGGAAAGGGAATGTGATGAAGAAGGGTTGCTATGGTGGATGGAAAGGGAATGTGATAGGGAAGGGTTGCTAGGGTGATGGGAAGGGGATGTGATGGAGAAGGGTTGGTCTGGTAGATGGGAAGTGAAGGTGATGGAGAAGGGTTGGTATGGTAATGGGAAGGGAATGTGATAAAGAAGGGTTGCTATGGTGGATGGAAAGGGAATGTGATGGAAAAGGGTTGCTATGGTAATGGAAAGGGAATGTGATGGAATAGGGTTGCTATGGTGATGGGAAGTGAAGGTGATGAAGAAAGGTTGGTCTGGTAGATCGGAAGGGAATGTGATGGAGAAGGGTTGCTATGGTAATGGGAAGGGAATGTGATGGAGGAGGGTTGGTCTGGTAGATGGGAAGGGAATGTGATGGAGGAGGGTTGGTCTGGTAGATACGAAGGGAATGTGATGGAAAAGGGTTGCTATGGTAATGGCAAGGGAATGTGATGAGGAAGGGTTTGTCTGGTAGATGGGAAGAGAATGTGATGGAGAAGGGTTGCTATGGTAATGGGAAGGGGATGTGATTGAGAAGGGTTGCTATGGTGATGGGAATGTTCACTATGTTGTATTGAGAAATGTTGATATTTTCGGCGGAAGTATAGCTCAGATGGTTACATATTGACGTCTTGGTGAATTATTATTATTATAGCAACTCTACTCCATCGCATTCACTTCTCATCCACCATCCATTATATTCCCTTAACACACTCTATAGCATCCCTTCCCTTCTCGTCACAGTCTCTTCCCATCCAACCTCAGTCACACTTTCTTCCTATCTCCATAATAATCAACTTTTCGTATCCGCCTTAGTTACCCATTCAGCAAAGTAACCAGACCCATCCACCATAGTAACCTCACCCATTGAGCAGAATAACCCCACCCATCCACCATAGTAACCCCACCAATCCATCATAGTAACCCCACCCATTCAGCATAGAAACCCCATCCATCCACCATAGTAACCCCATCCATCCACAATAGTAACTCCACCCATTCAGCAGAGTAACCCATCCATCCACCATAGTTACCCCACCCATCCACCATAGTAACCTCATCTATTCACCATAGTAACTCCACCCATTCAGCAGAGTAGCAACACCCATCCACCATAGTAACCCCATCCATCCACCATAGTAACCCCATCCATCCACCATAGTAACTCCACCCATTCAGCAGAGTAGCAACACCCATCCACCATAGTAACCCATCCATCCACCATAGTTACCCCACCCATTGAGCAGAATAACCCCACCCATCCGCCATATTAACCCCACCTATTGAGCAGAATAACCCCACCCATCCACCATAGTAACCCCACCCATTGAGCAGAATAACCCCACCCATTCAGCATAGAAACCCCATCCATCCAACATAGTAACCCCATCCATCCACAATAGTAACTCCACCCATCCACCATAGTAACCTCATCTATTCACCATAGTAACTCCACCCATTCAGCAGAGTAGCAACACCCATCCACCATAGTAACCCCATCCATCCACCATAGTAACCACATCCATCCACCATAGTAACCCCACCCATTCAGCATAGTAACCCCATCCATCCACCATAGTAACCCCATCCATCCACCATAGTAACCCCACCCATCCACCATAGTAACCCTATAGTACTCCATCCATCCACCACCCATCCACCATAGTAACCCATCCATCCACCATAGTAACTCCACCCATTCAGCATAGTAACCCCACACATCCACCATAGTAACCCCACCCATCCACCATAGTAACTCCACCCATTCAGCAGAGTAGCAACACCCATCCACCATAGTAACTCCACCCATCCACCATAGTAACCCCACCCATCCACCATAGTAACTCCACCCATTTAGCATAGTAACTCCAGAGTAACTCCATCCATCCAATATATAGTAACTCCACCCATTCAGCAGAGAGAAGCAACACCCATCCACCATGCTAACCCCCCACACATCATCCACCATAGTAACTCCACCCATTCAGCATAGTAACCCCACCCATCCACCATAGTAACCCCACCCATTCACCACCCCATTCATTCAGCATAGTAACTCCACCCATAGTAATCTCCACCATAGTAACCCCACCCATCCACCATAGTAACCCCACCCATCCACCATAGTAACTCCACCCATCCACCATAGTAACTCCACCCATCCACCATAGTAACCCCACCCATTCACCATAGTAACTCCACCCATCCACCATAGTAACCCACCCACCCATCCACCATAGTAACCCCACCCATCCACCATAGTAACTCCACCCATTCAGCATAGTAACCCCACCCATCCATCATAGTAACCCCACCCATCCACCATAGTAACTCCCACCCATTCAGCATAGTAACCCCATCCATCCACCATAGTAACCCCACCCATCCACCATAGTAACCTCATCTATTCACCATAGTAACTCCACCCATTCAGCAGAGTAGCAACACCCATCCACCATAGTAACCCCATCCATCCACCATAGTAACCCCACCCATCCACCATAGTAACTCCACCCATTCAGCAGAGTAGCAACACCAATCCACCATAGTAACCCCATCCATCCACCATAGTAACCCCATCCATCCACCATAGTAACTCCACCCATTCCACCATAGTAGCAACACCCATCCACCATAGTAACCCCATCCATCCACCATAGTTACCCCACCCATCCACCATAGTAACCACACCCATCCACCATAGTAACCCCATTCATCCACCATAGTAACTCCACCCATTCAGCAGAGTAACTCCACCCATTCAACATAGTAACCCCACCCATCCACCATAGTAACCCCACCCATCCACCATAGTAACCCCACCCATCCACCATAGTAACTCCACCCATCCACCATAGTAACTCCACCCATCCACCATAGTAACCCCACACCCATCCACCATAGTAACCCCACCCATCCACCATAGTAACTCCCACCCATCCACCATAGTAACTCCACCCATCCACCATAGTAACTCCACCCCATCCACCATAGTAATCCTGCACCCACATCCACCATAGTAACCCCACCCATCCACCATAGTAACTCCCACCCATCCACCATAGTAACTCCACCCATCCACCATAGTAACCCCACCCATCCACCATAGTAACTCCACCCATCCACCATAGTAACCCCACCCATCCACCATAGTAACTCCACCCATCCACCATAGTAACTCCACCCATCCACAATAGTAACCCCACCCATCCACCATAGTAACCCCACCCATCCACCATAGTAACTCCACCCATCCACCATAACCCCACCCATAACTCAACCCATCCACCATAGTAACTCCACCCATCCACCATAGTAACCCAACACCCATCCACCATAGTAACCCCACCCATCCACCATAGTAACCCCACCCATCCACCATAGTAACCCCACCCATCCACCATAGTAACTCCACACATCCACCATTGTGAAATCATCCATCGACTGAATGCAAAAGAAACGAAATAGGATTTTTTAACAAATGAAACTATGTATGCATATTCAGATGCGACACTCTTTTTTTGTTTAAACGTGTAATGCGAAATACACGTATGAGTTTTACTCATATAACGAGCATAAGTTACATTTTGTTCGAGCTGTCAGGGTCTATTTCATGAATGAGTCATTTGTGCAGGGAAAGGGTCCACTCCTTGATTTATACAAGGAAATAGCCTATTCAAATCAGTTACGACCACAAAGACATTAAGTTCAGCTGGCAGTACTTTGGCCTGGCCATTCTCGACAAACTTATGTCTCCGTGTTTCCGCTGCGAATGTTTAAAACCTGTTTTTGAGCCCGAAGCGAATTGTGCAGACCGATGCTAGAACAAAAGCCTGCCGGGTCAAAAAACATTGTTAAAAACACCGCGTGCGTGTACGCAGAACATCATAAACCCATAGTCGTGGGGTGTTGGGCTCGACACCGAAACAACAACGCATGTCTGTGTGGGACCGACGTGACAGATTTAACGTAGAAAAATGTTATACAGTTCCTGAATGGGTAAAATACGAGAGTGTTTGTCAGTGGTATGGGAGAGGGGGGATACAACAAAGTCCATGATTGGTGTA